TCCTTCCTTCCTTCCTTGCTTGATTGATTGATTGATTGATTGATTGATTGATTGATTGATTGATTGATTGATTGATTGATTGATTGATTGTATTTATACCCCACCCATCTAGCCAATTGACTACTCTGGGCGGCTTCCAACATATATAACAACAATATAAAATAAAACAAGATTTTAGACATCAGTAGACAAGTTATTCAAGATGGAAAAAAAATAAGAAAAAAGAAAATCAAGTATTAACTGAAGGGAAGGCCTGCCTAAACATCCAAGTTTTCAATTGGTTTTTAAAAGCTTTGTTGGCTGCTTCGTTCCCATTTTCCAGATGGCCACCTGAGGCTAAGAAAACGGCTTTTAAAAGGTCACAGACAGAGACTACTGTTCAGCCGACTTCACATCATTCAATCTACTGCTGGATTGTTACTTCTTGGCGTCCAGCTCTTGGCTCCAACCTCCCACCCGTGAGCCCATTTCCCTTTTTTCTCAATCCTGTCCTGGGTGGCGTTTGGGAAGTGATAAACCAGTTTGCATTAAGTTCAGTTTCTCACCTGGGAGCGTTCCTTGAGGCCGGATCAACGCATTTCCGCGACTATTCCAGATGGCCTCGGGAATCTACCGAAAAAAGCATCTAGAATGTTCTCCCACCAAGAGCCTTCTTGATAAGAACTAGATAGAACTCACAGCGCTATGTTCTGATAAGGTAGCTCCGAGGAGTCAGTTGACTTCTGTTAGTGGTTTCCTGCTGACAACATCAGAACAACAAACAGCTGGGGACGGCCGGTTGCCGCTCACTAAAATCCTAAGGCCAGTCACCTAGCCATCAAGCTTGTTCGGAGCTAATGTTAGAATTGCGGCCGCTCCAGTAGGAAACCAAGCTTGCCCACAAAGCCTCCGTGGGCTAGAACGAGCGGCTTTCATGTTGACAACTTCTTAACTGTTGGCCGCTATTTTTATCCTCTCTGTAACGACTTCCTATTTTCCTAAATTCTCCCCTCCCTGACAGAAATTAATATTCTTTTTTTTTCAGGTGTATTGTGTCTAGTCCTGACTTAATAAGGTCACACAACTGTAGCATTCGAAGGAACGCCAACAGGAATCGAAGAAGGCCAGCGCTGGAGCATCTCTGGCTGATGGCCACTCAAATGCCACTTCTTGTTGTTGTTTAGAGCACGCCAGGCCCTCCTGTCTTCCACTGCCTCCCGGAGTTGTGTCAAATTCATTTTGGTTGCTTCGATGACAGTGTCCAACCATCTCATCCTCTGTCGTCCCCTTCTCCTCTTGCCTTCACACTTTCCCAACATCAAGGTCTTTTCCAAGGACTCTTCTCATGAGATGCCAAAGTATTGGAGCCTCAGCTTCAGGATCTGTCCTTCCAGCGACTCCACTTAGAACCCTTCAATTGGGAAGGACCAAATAATCTCCCAAAAGCTCTTTAATATGCTGTTGTCTGCCTTTAGGATTTAATGCCCTCCGAGAGTGTATACCACGGGACTTAAACAATGGAGCGAGCAAATAAATACGAGCCTCTTGTTTTTCTCACTTGTAAGAACTGATAATGCTCTGTTAGCCATGCCACAGTCTTGTGAGGAGCCACAGAGCTAGCACAAAGCTTTTTCAGAGACGGCAGCAGGCGATGCAACGTTCTTCGGTCATAGCGCTGATGGCCTTTCCCACCTTTGTCTTTCGAGTTCCAATTTTTGGAAATATTTTTGGAATAAGCAAGAGTTTGACTTGTCTTCTCCTGCTGCTTGTTTCTGTTGCTTTTATTGTTTTCAGAGCTCAGAAATAATACTTCTTTTTTATTATAATCTCCCTGTCAGCATGCATGGCAGTCCCAAAAAAGTAACATTTCCCACCTGCGATTGTATTTTAGCAAATTTTGTCATTATGTGCCATCAAGTTGTCTCTGACATATGCCAGCTCTATGAATGAGGGACTATTCATAGTCCTTCTCAGCTCTTGTAAACTCAAGCCTGTGGCTTCCTTTAGGGAGTCTGTCTGTCTTGTATTTGATCTTCCTCTTCTCCAGCTGCCTTCAACTTTACCGACCATTATTGTCTTTTCCAGAGAATCCTGCCTTCTCAGGATGTGCCCAAAGCAGGATAGCCTCCGTTTCAACATTTCTGCCTCCAGAGATAGTTCAAACTTGATTTGATCCAGGACCCACTTGTTTGTCTTTCTGGCAGTCCAAGATTCTCCTCCAGCACCACATTTCAAATGAATCATTTTTCCCCCTGTTAACTTTCGTAACTGTCCAGTTTTCACACCTATTATTGGAAAGACAAGAGTATGGATAATCTTGGCTTTGGTCTCCAGTGACACATCCTTACATTTGAAGATATTTTTCTAATTCCTTCATTGCTGCCTTCCACCTCTCAGTCGTCGGATTTCTTGTCTGCAGTCTCCCTTCCAATTGAACCAAGCTATATACAAAATCTCCAACTATTTCAGTTTCTTTGTTGTCAACATGAAAGTTGCATCATTCTTCTGTAGTCATCACGATGTTGTCTTCTAAATGTTCAACTGTAGTCCTGCTTTGGCGCTTTCTTCTTTCACTTCCACTAAAATCCGTCTCAAGTCATTGCCATTCTTTTATAGTGCAAATTCTGCAATGCCTTGTTTTTTTAAAATATATTTTAAAACTCCACATTGAATATTCATCAATCAAGATTTTAATGGAGTGCTTTTACATGGATTGCTAGACACCTTGTGTTTGTATGAAGAAGGACAAGATAACAACAGCAATGATACTGATTAGTAAGGGGGGAAAACTTTTTTTAATAAAAAGGGAAAAAAACCCTGTGGCTTCAAAATGGCCAGAAGATAGACTACTGAAGGATGAAGAGGTACAGACAGCATGGAAAGATACGAGTTTAATGCCTCTTTCCCTGGGTAATAGCTAATGATTTGAGCTGTGATTCTTGGAATAGAAATTCTGGTGTGAGCAAGATGGCCATTTTTTCTGACCGAATAAAGCGAGAAGATGTTTTGACTCCCCGAGGTCTAAGAGGGATCTGGTAACTGTGCAAATTCTATCTCGGCCGAATATGGACGAATATTTGTCTCCCTTTCTTTGCGGTACCCAAACCCCAAACTTTGTTGGTGAGAAGTGAGTGGAATCTGGCAGGTTTTAAGACCCAGCCTTGCTGATGCACCTTCCCCTTTGAGGTCTTGTCAGGGTTATGCATTTGTAGGAGCTAGCATCTCAGGCTGGCTGGCATGAATGAGGCAAAGGGGGGGGGGACGCAATTCTGGAGTGAAAAGCCTCAGCCTGGGATTGCACTGCGGTCGCTAGGCAACCGCCTTGACGCAACCACACACTCACACACTCTCCCAGATGCACACCAGACAGAGGGAAAAGAAGTCCCTTTGAAAAAAAAACACACACACCCTCCCAAAAAATTTTTTTTAAAATGCACACACATTTTTCCTTGCTGAGGAACACCCAGACCAGGAGGCGGAGAGGACGGGGGTGAGCATCACCGTTCTGCAAAAAGATCCAAGTTGGGAAACAGATCAAGGGGCAGGAAGCAAAATAAACGTTGCGTCTCTAGAATGTTAATGGGGGAAGCCCTTCGCACCACGCAAAGCTGGGTAAGTTGCATTCATTTTTAAATTACCCACCCAGCCACCCACCTACCCAGGAATTTATAGAGTTTTTCTAGTGAGGCTCCCGTGCGCTTGATCAAACGGATGTTCTCTCTCTCTCTCTCTCTCTCTCTCTCTCTCTCTCTCTCTCACACACACACACACACACACACACACACACACACACACACACCCCTCAGTTGACTGCACAGGTACTTGCCACTAGGTGCTAAGCATTGCCATTTCAGCTGCAGGTTGACAGAGGGGAATGAAATGATGGTGTGGGTGTGTGTTTTGTTTGTGTGTGTGTGTGTGTGTGAGAGAGAGAGAGAGAGAGAGAGACAGAGATTCTGTATCTTGTCTTTTGCAGCCTCTCGGCCAGCACTTCCAAAGGCGGCTTTGGAAATAGAATAAGTTCTTTCAAGCAGGAAGCAAAAAAAGCTTGTTCTCGCAAGAAGGAGCGACCGGCGGTGCCCCACCAATGACTGGGGACAGCAGGATCTCGGAGATAAAATGACCATCGCTGCCATTTAATGTTGCCAGGCTAAAAAAGAAAAAGAAAAAAAAAGAGTTAAGGACGGGTTGAACCTGTTTATTTGCTTGCTTGCTTGCTTGCTCTTTCAAGCAGGAAGCAAAAAAAGCTTGTTCTCGCAAGAAGGAGCGACCGGCGGTGCCCCACCAATGACTGGGGACAGCAGGATCTCGGAGATAAAATGACCATCGCTGCCATTTAATGTTGCCAGGCTAAAAAAGAAAAAGAAAAAAAAAGAGTTAAGGACGGGTTGAACCTGTTTATTTGCTTGCTTGCTTGCTTGCTTTCTTGCTTGCTTGCTTATGGGTGTATTTTCTATGTGTTCGTTGCTGAATTGCATGCGTTTTCTACTAGCTTACGGCATGCCACGAAAACCCAACGTAGAGAACACGGGTCTGAAAGCCGACTTGATAGGATCAAGATAAGAGAGAGGAAAAGGTAGCTTCTAAAGAGTAAGGCGGGTGGTAGGTTTGAATGGCGCGGGGATGGTCACCCCCAAGAGACGGTGAAGGACACGAGAGGAAAATGGGGGTCAGGTTGGGTACCAAATTCGGGGACGCTCAGGGGTCTGCGGCGCCTAGACTGACAGGACAGTGAGAATCAGGTTGGGTGAAGGAGCTGTATTCCAGATGTGGGCGCCTCTGGATCGAGGCGTGGCCCTTTGAATGTCAAGTCTCTTCCCACCCCAGATGGGGTGGCCTCGGTGGTCAGGTCTTCTCTCCCGTTGGGCGGTCAAACGGATTGTAGAGGCTCCATCCATTGCATCATCTCCTGAGACCTGCGTATGCTTTTTTAAAGGGCGTGGAACGACAAGCCTCCCCTAAAACCGAGCATCTTGCAAGAAGCTGGAAAGAACCTCCCTTTCTTCCCCCCCCCTTCTCATTTAGCATTTTGAAGGCTTCCCTGAAATCGTGCGGGTCCCACACCCTTTGGGCTTCTCATTCATAACCCGAAGGGCATTTTCCCATCCCTGTCCTTTTCTTTGCAATTTCTATCCTCTTTTCAGGAAGAAAGATCGGTGCAAGGAAAGCCCCCCCCCCCCGATGTGAATTAGGACAGGTTGTTTCGCTTTTAGCACTCACTCGGAAACAGTCTTGTAAGGATAAGTTATGTTTCTCCCTAGACTTCATGAAGGGAAGGTGATGCCAAAAGGTTCCATCACCCAAAAATGGGCACAGGGTGATAAAAACAAAAGGAGGAGAATCAAAGACCAGTCTGTCTGTCTGGGCTGATTGTTGTTGTTGTTGTTTAGTCATTAAGTCGCATCCAACTCTTCGTGACCCCATGGACCAGAGCACGCCAGGCCTGCCTGTCTTCCACTGCCTCCCAAAGTTGGGTCAAATTGAACTCTGGGTAGAGTGGGCGGCATATAAATTCAATAAATAAATAAATAAGTAGATAAAGTCATGTTGGTCGCTTCGATGACCCTGTCCAGCCATCCCGTCCTCTGTCGTCCCCTTCTCCTCTTGCTAATAGTTCAGGGTTAAAGCCCAAATGAAGTCAATTCACTTTGGCTAAAGACGGGCTGACCTTCTCTTTCTAATGTCTCCAAGATCCTACGCCACCCATTAGGAGCCTTGCGGTGCAGTGGTTAAACTGCAGTACTGCAGTTAAGACTCTGCTCACAACCTGAGTTCAATCCCAATAGGCTCAGTGAGCCAGCTTGAGGTTGACTCCAACCTTTCCATCCTTCCAAGGTTGGTACATTGAGTACCCAATTCACGGCGGCGGTGGTGGTGGTGGGAGCAATGTGTAGCCTGCAGAATTAAATTGTAAACCATCCAGAGGTTTTTTTTTAAAGCACTATGGGATGATCTATAAGCAGTACACTTTGCTTCCTTAGTTTATTGGAACATAAAGGAAAAAAGGTTTGGGGCTTTTAGGAAATAGATTTTAATAAATTATATAAAATTTAGGGGGAAAGACTGAAACAAAACATGTTTGGTGGACCAAGAAAGAGGTTGTGCCACAATTTCTGAAGACGTAACCAGATGGAGCCTTTTTTCCCTCTCTCCTTAATGTACTGGGTTTTGCCCTGATGTTATCAGTATTCTTCCCATCATCCATACAATGTTTTTCTTCTGTGACTTTCTACACCTTTCCATCTCTCCTGAAAGCACTGTTTATTTTTAATATTGCTTTGGACTGAGGGAATGGAGGTCAGTGTGATGGCCCATCACGTCTGAAGTCGGTGAGACCCTCTCTATTGGAAGTTTCCAGTTAGTACTCAGACACCACCAATGACAAACTCTAGAAGACGAAACTCTCACTGAGAAATTCATTTCTTAAATATATATTTTAAAAGATTTCTGAAAGATTTCTGAAAGACAGTGATGTTTTTTAAAAGATAAGTGGCTTTTTAAAGGGAAGGTTGGATGGCAATTCAGGTGAATTTCATGTTTCTTTATAATCATGTGAGAGCAAGAGGGTGGGACCGAATTCTTTCTTTGTCCTGGTACAGCAAAAAACTAGGAGTGGACTTTTTTGATTTAGCTTCCTGTTCTAGCTGAAGCCTTCCTCCAAAATGAGCCACATTTAAGTATCTATGACACCTACACTCTCATAGAACACATGCTCACAAAGGTACATAAATGGGGGGGGGGATACTATTTATTGTTTTAAATTAAAATTTTAAAAAGCAAGAGTCTTGTAGCACAGTGGTTAAGCTGCAGTATTGTAAGGAAGACTTTGCTCAGGATCTGAGTTTGATCCTGACAGGCTCAGGTAGCCAGCTTGAGGTTCACTCAGCCTTCCATCCTTCCAAAGCAGGTAAATTGAGTACCCAGCTTGCTTGGGGGGAGCGGCAGCAATATGTAGCCCTGCATAATTAAACTGTAAACCACCCAGTAAGTTCTTTAAGTGCTATGGGATAGCATATTTTGCTTTTGACTTTATTGGCTGGCATGGTTTCTTTTCCATCAGCTGTCACAGGTTGTAGCGCACTATGTTTCGTGCAAGAACATAGAAGGAAGAGCCTTACTCTTTCAGAGTGAAGGCTCACCTCGTCCAGCATTAGCTTCCTATGGTGGCCACTGGCCACCGACTCTGTGTACAGAGACCACCAGTGAGACATGAGTGCAGCTGGCCACCCCATCCTGCTTTTCCCCACTGCCACCCTTCCTGTCTTTGTGATACCCACTTTGGAACGGATTGGCCATCACCCGGGTAGCAAATTCCACAGTTTCAACATGTGCTGCTTTCTGCACAGTGTTCACATATGCGGACATACCAGGGCATCAGCTTCTGTGCTTTGTAAGGACAGGGCTGTTCCTAACAGGATTTTTTCAAAGGTCACCAATTCATGGTGCCACTAGAAGTTGGAAGTGACATGTTGTTGTTTAGTTGTTAAGTCGTGTCCGACTCTTCGTGACCCCATGGACCAGAGCACGCCAGGCCCTCCTGTCTTCCACTGCCTCCTGGGGTTTGGTCAGATTCATGTTGGACGCTTCGGTGACCCTGTCCAACCATCTCATCCTCTGTCGTCCCCTTCTCCTCTTGCCTTCACACTTTCCCAATATCAGGGTCTTTTCCAGGGAGTCTTCTCTTCTCATGAGATGGCCAAAGTCTTGAAGCCTCAGCTTCAGGATCTGTCCTTCCAGTGAGCACTCAGGGTTGATTTCCTTCAAAATGGATAGGTTTGTTCTCCTTGCAGTCCAGGGGACTCGCAAGAGTCTCCTCCAGCACCACAATTCAAAAGCATCAATTCTTCAGCGGTCAGCCTTCATAGGAAGTGACATAACGGCATCTAATAACAACATCCCGAAAGTGCACTTTATACACCGGCATTTGTACCTCAACGTTCCTCCAAAGAGCTCAAGAAAACGTCGGTGGTTCTGTCACCCTGTCCCACGCTTTGCTCCTCACAACAACCCTGTGAGGTTCATACAGGCCCAAGAAACAGGGACTAAATCAGGGGTGCCCAGTCAGCTTCATGGCAGAATGGAGACATGAGACTGGGTCTTTCTTGGGTCTCGCTCAGCGCTTTTTCCACTGTGAACACCAGCAAGCCAGCAACCGCAAGAGAAATAAATACTTCTGAGACAAACAGATTTTGAGACATTTTTTTCCCAAGGGCAAAATGTTAGCCCAGACATAATACGTGTCCTGTTTATTATTCATTGGCTGGTTTCCTCTATTTGTTTATCTACTTAGGGTAGAAAAGAGCCTTGCGGCACGGCGGTTCAACTGCAGTACTGCAGCCAAAACTGTGCTCACGACCCGGGGTTCAGTCCCAGGGAGCCGGCTCAAGGATGACTCAGCCTTCTCTCCTTCCGAGGTTGGCAAAATGAGTACCCAGCTTTCAAACTGCTTAGAGAGTGCTTGAAGCACAATGAGGCAGTATATAAGCAGGACACTTTGCTTTTACTTGTGGGCTCAAGTCCGCGCATGTCATTTAAACAAGCAGAATGCTAGAAATTTTGCAGGGTTCTGAGAGCTTAAAATGTCATTTTGCCATTTCTCATCCATCAACCAC